TGCACGGGCTCAGCTGCTCCCTGCTCCTCCTAAGGGCCAGCAGGAGCAAAGGAGGGCAGAGAGGGAGGGGACTCGGCTTGGAGGGCGGCTCAGCCTCTGTCCTCCTCTCTGCCCCTCCTCCTCGCTCTTGCTCACTGGCCTCCACCCTCCTGAGCTGTCATGTAGCAGGTGGGTGGGATTCAGAGCAAGGCTATCCCTGAAGAAGCCCTTCCAACCACCTTCTTCCTTGCCCTTTCCTCATGTTCTAGAAATGGAACATTCTTTGGACATGTGGTGACCGGCCTCAGACTCGCTAGGAATCTATCACACTGGAGCAGGGGATGTTATTCACTTGGGAAGAACTGCTATGTTTACAATTTTGGCTCTTTGCAGCCAGGAATGTGGTCAACATCTCCATTTACCCCGGGCTGCTTTGCAATAGCTTCAGGAAGTTCCATAAAGTTTGGTAAGTCACATCTTGCACGTTCATGAATTTGTTTCTTCCGGATGGCTTTATACGTAAGGAATAGTAAGACTTAAAAAATAATTCTAAAAGGGTATTTTTGGGGGAGGGGGATCCTCAGTGCTTTCCAAGCACATGAGGGGCTCATCTGTAAGTGGTTTTTGTGCCCACCACCCTATCGTTCCATGCTCACATAGGTAGGATAATCAATGAGGCAACGTGGAACAGCAGGTGGAGTGTGGCGTCCAGGCCACGTCCTGGCTTTGATGGCAGTGTTTTACCTGTTTTCCTTCTACTTCATGTGAAGCTGGCAGTGGATTTTGGATGGGCCTCATTTACAATATTAAAAGAAGGTTAAGAGAGACCAGTGTGAGGGCACAGCAGGTTTAGCCAGCGCTTGCAACATCAGGATCAGAGCACCGGTTCCAGTCCCAGCTGCTCCACTTCCAATCCAGCTCCCTGCTAATGTGCCTGAGAAGGCAGCAGCTGAGAGCCCAAGTGCTTCAGCTCCTGAAATTCATGTGGAAGACCCAGATGGCATTGGGTCTGGCCCAACCCCAGCCATTGCAGCCATTTGGGGCAGAATCGGCAGACAGAAGCGCACTCGCTCGCTCTCTGTCTCTTGCTCTCTGTGATTCTGCCTCTCAAATAAACCTTGGGGAGAAAAAAGAGACTAAAAGACATGAAACATAGGCAGAGGCGATATAAGTTTTAGCCCTCAAGAAGTATTTTTCTTTTATAGGTAGGCATTCATCCTGCAAGACACTGCTCCTGTACAGTTTGGCATTATGTCCCAGACAGGAAGTGAATCAAATGCTTATTGTGGCGAGTACACTAATTACAAAGTACATCTTCCGTAGATCTTCAAAAACAACTTCATAGCAACTTCCTGGTGCTGGAGCCTAGCTTAGGAAATCTATCTATAACAAACGTGCTGTGTACTTCCTGATTTCACTGCAAATTTGTTTAATCTAAAAATCATTAAGGCATCTAATTCCTAGGATGCGACAGGAGGCTGAGTGGCGATTTGTCATGAAGCCACTTTGGCAGTTGGCGGGGGGGCTCCCTTTCATAGATCAGCCAATGGCATCAGCCCTCTGTGAGGACTGTCTAGGTGATGTTTGTGCCTGGGAACTGGAGCGGGGAGTCGGTGCTATCCAGGTCATGGGTCATTTCCTTAGTGGCTCATGGCCACAGGCTGCAGCCCAACCCTGGCAGGCGCCCTGTGGTCTCAGGCCTGGGTCCAGAGGTCAGGGCCATTGGCATTGACTTGGATCATGTACCTGCATAAATGTCGGCTTAGTAAATAAACGAACATGTGGAGCCAGGCCCCGTGCCATGACGCGGGGCCCCAGTGCTGGGACGAGCATTCCATGGAGGGGGGTGAGGGCTCAGCACACGGCGTCCCACCCGGCAGGCCAATAGTGAGGAGCCGTGCCCTCTCCTGTGCCCGTCAGGAGCGTGCCTGTGAAACCAGCCCCGTCTCTCCGGTATACCTTTCTCCAAGCCTTCTGAATTGAGTGCGATTTTTCCTGCCAGTAGGAAGCCTTGGAATAATGAATTCCATATGTGTCTGTTTCTCTGCGGGAAGTGGTAGGCTCACCTTTATTCGGTCAGCAGAACTACTCTCTCGCTGCAGGAAATCTTCATATTCAACAAACCCCAAGAGCTGGAGGAAGCTGCAGGGGAGGGGCGAGGGGCCCTTCTGGGCTTGGGGAGCTGCTAACGGAGTAGACCAGAACACACCTGGCTGCCAGCACTGGCCGCTGCGCAGCCACGTTTGGGGGAGGGGAATAGTTCTCAGGATAACTTTTCAGAATGCTTGAAGTAAGTGCTTGCAGGATATTCCCAAAAAGGAAGATGAAGGTGACGCTGGCAGCCAGGGCAGCATGGGGAAGAGAACGGGGACAGGAGGCCCAAACGGCATATTATAGTCAACACTGGGGTGAAGGAAGGGAGGAAGGGAGGAGGGGAGGAAGGGAGAGGCGGGCCCCACCCACCCTGCAGGCACTCAGGAGGATGCAGGCTGGAGCAGGCTGCTCAGATGGCCCGGGAGAACCACGGCACAAGCAGGGAAGGGGGCTCCTGGGGTGGCCGTGGCAGAGGGAGAGGATGAGTCTCATGTTGGCTGTGCCGGGCGGAGGCTGTGCAACCTCTGGGGAGGTGCCTGGGTTCTTGAACCAGAGACCCCAGTCAGGGATGCTGCTCTCAGAGTGTGTCTGCACACAGATGGAATCCCCGAGGGACGAACGTGCAAGGGGAAGCCTGGGGTAGGAACCTCCTACGCTGCGGAGGAGAGATGCAAGTCTGCGCAGAAGGTGAGAAACAAGGGATTTTTGTTATAATTAATTAATTTATTTGAAAGGCAGAGGTACAAGCTGACTTACCTCAAACGGTAGAGTTAGAAACATACCAGGGGATTCCAATTCAATCCCATCGAGGTGGCATGTACCAATGCCATCTCACTAGTCCCAGTGATCAATTTCTGTTCACAATTGATCATAATGATAGGACTAAGAACCAAAGGGATCACATAAACAAGACTAGTGTCTGCAAATACTAGCTGATAGAATCAAAAAGGGAGAGAACAATCCAACATGGGAAGTGAGATACACAGCACACCCATAGAATGGCAGATGTCCTAACAGCACTCTAGCCTCAGAATCAGCCCTTAAGGCATGCGAATCCGGCTGAAAAGCCCATGAGAGTATTTCAGGCATGGGAAGCCAAGACACTCTGGGGGAAAAAAAAAAAACCTAAATGAAAGATC